CTATCTTCAGCCGGCGCTGCACTTGCTACTCGTGAGGCGTGGGAACACCCCCTTCCGGGCAATGTGGGGTCCTGGAGGGCTCTCCGTGGCTACAGGAAATCTTTTGTTCATGCCGGTTGGGGGATTTTCTTTTGGGGTTAGTATTCTCCGTTTTTCCTCTGCCGTCTTCTAATACCTTTTCTGCAGGGAGCGCAGAATCTCGCGGACCTCGGTCATGTATGTAATAGAGGCCCATCTACAGCGTGCTTTCTCAAGATGTGTAGACCAGAAAAAACCCACTCACCCAAATTGGCCAAACCCAAAGTTTTATATGGATGGAAAGCTGTGAAAGGGGAAAAGAATCGTGAGTCAGATACACAGAGTCATTTTCAGCTTCATAATCTCTGAAGGGAAGCACATTTCTAAACTGTAGGTGTGGAACTGAGGTTGGCTAGGGCATGTGCTGGTACACAGGTGACGTTATCGCCAACTCGCCATCCATTGTAAATGAGTAAGATCAACATTCTACCTTGGAAATCTGTTCCTTGTTAATGTGCCGAATAAACTTTTTTTTTAAATTTTTTTTTAATGTTTTATTTATTTCTAGGAGAGAGAGAGAGACAGCGTGAGCAGGGGAGGATCAGAGAGAGAGGGAGTCACAGACCGAAACAGGCTCCAGGCTCTGAGCTGGCAGTGAGCACAGAGCCCGACGCGGGGCTCGAACCCACGAACCGCGAGATCATGACCTAAGCGAAAGTGGGACGCTTAACCGACTAAGCCACCCAGGCGCCCCTTAAACTCTTAAAATGGCAATACAGTGATTCATTTTCTCACATCCAAAGCCAGTTCAAGTCCTTTTGACTCTTGAAACGATCAGTCGTTAATCTGCTAAAATATTTCAAGTAGTTGGAGAGAAAGCCCTGAATTCCAGTTTATTGGAAATTGAATTCAGAGTTCAATTAAAAATATCAATATTCTTCAGTCAGAGAAACGTCCCCCAAATAACTCTTTCATTCCCCATTTTAATTAAAAAGAACAGTCTAAGAAATTGTGTGTTCTGTTGCTTTACACGCCCACTAAAAAGCAGAAATATGGGCACCAGTCTGGCCCAGTTGGTTAACTGACCAACTTCAGTTCAGGTCGTGATCTCATGGTTTCGGAGTTCCAGCCCAGCATAGGACTCTGTGCTGCCAGCTCAGAGCCTGGAGCCTGCTTCAGATCCTGTGTCTCCCTCTCTCTCTGCCCCTCCCCCGCTCATGCTCTGTCTCGGTCTCTCTCAAAAATAAATTTAAAAAAAATTTTTTTTAAAAAGCAGAAGTAGGGGTGCCTGAGTAGTTCAGTTGGTTAAGTGTCCGACTTCAGCTCAGGTCATTATCTCATGGTTCATGAGTTCCAGCCCCACCTTGAGGTCTGCACTGACAACCTGGAGCCTGCTTCGGATCCTGTCTCCCTCTCTCTCTGCTCCTCCCCAGCTTGCGCTCTGTCTCTCTTTGTCTCTCAAAAATAAATAAAATTTAAAAAACAAACAAACAAAACAGAAATAGACTACAAGTGATTGATACTATTACTTCTGGTGACAACTTTAAAATTCTCATCCTGCTTTTTTAAAATTTTTTTTGATGTTTTATTTATTTCTGAGAGAGAGAGACAGCGTGAACAGGGGTCAGAGAGAGAGAGAGAGAGAGGGAGACACAGAATCTGAAGCAGGCTCCAGGCTCTGAGCTGGCTGCTAGCACAGAGCCTGACATGGGGCTCAAAACCACGAACTGTGAGATCATGACCTGAGCCGAAGTTGTACGCTTAACTGACTGAGCCACCCAGGTGCCCTCATCCAGCTTATTTATAATCACCATAAGTAAGTGAAATATGCGTCTTTACTTGTTTAATCTCTAAGGAAAGAGACCTCATTTGTTACCCAGTCATTTCTTCAGCATAATAGAGCTTGGACTTGGCAAAAGAATTTTCTTGTTTCAGTATCTGGGTGTGATGAGATTTCCATGGGCCATTATAGTCTTTCCTATATTTTTTTATCTTTAATCTGGATTATTCCTGTATATGCATAAAGTCATCTCCTTGCTTTTTAGTTCTATGACATGGAAATCAGAAACAATCTTTATAATCTCTGAAAGCGTCCAGTGAAGACACTACATAATGGTTTGACCGACTGCTCACAGTCTGTATTATACAGGCAGTTGTCTTCCTACTATCTGTCAAACCTAAGATGTAGATAAGGTAATAAACCTCCAACTAAAGCTTATTACACAAGACTGTAATTCTTCTCAATTCTTCTTAAGAATTACCATAAGCAAAATATGAATGTTTTCTCATTTCGGCCTATTTTTCCTCCTTTGAAAGCTGAGCATTATTTTCATTAAAAATTACCATGTAATTCCGTGATAAGACTCACTGCAAATAGTTTAGAAATATACGTACAGGCCTGCACTTAGGGTACAAGGGGCTCATCTTATTTAAATAAAAACATGGCTCTTGTGCAAGAGCAATACTGAATTTTCACCCGAAATTGCATAAGCCTAGCATGTAAATGATGTGTAAATGAAGTGCTCCCTGAATAGGCATTAAATGAGCATTAAGAGGGAAGACCATAACAGTCCATCATTTCAATGGTCCCAGCCCAAAGGTGCTTGAGTCGCTTTGACACAACAGAGTGTGACAGCTTCATAGGCATTGTCTCAGGCTGCTGGGTCCAAACTCGGTGGAAAAGAGGGAATAAAACTAGGCCCAACGAGTCACTGATGGCTGGACCCCGGCCCTTCGCCCCAGCCAGCACAGTCCATCAGTTTTCCAGATTGGGCTCACCAACTTGATCCATGGGAAGGAGGATTTTATGTAGTTTTGCTTTCAGTAAATGATGATCAACTGCTATAGAAATAACATAGCTAACTTTTTGTTTGAATCCAAACCCTGGGCAGTGTTTATGGGATGCTCCCCAGAGTTCTCTGGAACAGCTCGGAGGGTGCGGTGTCTCCAGAGTCCCTGCTCCAATCTTTGCCTCACAGGTGGATGGTGTACAGGGTGAATGGCTAATGATCCTATTTTGCTATGAGTGTTCAGAACAAAAACGTGCTGCCTTTTCCCAGCCAAGGATTAACAGAATTAAAAGAATCCCCACAGTCCAACCTCAGGAATAATGCATCCATTCATACAGGAACATAGATCCAATGCTGTCACAGGATCACCATACATCCCAGTACCTACTACTAAGCTTTGAACATGGTAGGTACTCAAAATTATGTTATTCAAGTCAACATAATTGGGTTATTTCTCAATTATCAAGGATGAGTATTTAGACTTTATCCACAAATTTTATCCAACCCCCTAGATCTGCATTTGCACCGCATCCAGCTGGAGGTGGGCGTAAAATCTATGTCATCAAATACAGTATCATCGGTCAGTTTGTGAGAAAATGACCCATCATTCGGCCCCGTTAATATCATTCTCCACTCCTATCAACAACCCACTGAATAGTGTATTTTTCAGTTATATTGTTGAAAGATATGTTTTAGGTCTAATAAGGAAATTAAATATCTAGGTATCCACATCAAAGAATGTATATCCAGAAAATAAAGAAATAAATATATGTATATGCATACACAGCATTCATACACACACACATACACAAACATATAACACACATACAGCATAGTCATCTGACCTCAAATATTATTTTCCAAATAATCTTTTTTTCAAGAGAAAATCTTAATTTTCATCCTTTGTATGACATTTCTTTTAATGTGTGACTACAATAATGTAATTTAACCTTTTCTTAACATTTAGGATTGACCTCAGAAACTCAAGTTCGTGTTCTCTCCTGTAACACAGTGGTGCTCTCTGGGCCTGTTAATGTACCTCGAACTTCCTTTTTTGTTATACTGAAAGGCTTCAATTTGGGAGGAGGAGTGTCTATTTGGGGTTATTTCTTCGCCTGCTCAAGATCTCTGTCTCCTCAAACCAGAGAATGAGAGATTATCACTTCTCCTTGCTATCAGGTGTCTGCCTCCAACACTTTTCTTTCCTCCTCATCCTAACCCCCACAACTTTCTGCCTCTAAAAATGTCTGTGAGAATGGTTCATTCACTCATATCTTCATTCAACAAGTATTTAATGAGGTTCTACTATGTGCGAGGCACCGGGGATAACATAGAACCTGGTTCTTGTAGAACCCACAGCCTGTGAGTGCACAGAGACATTAGTCAAAGGACCACAGAAATAAATGCAACATCACCTCTAATGAATGAGGGAGCTATGGTGTAAGAGGCCCCAGAAGTATCAGGAAGGCCAGAGAAGGCTTCCTTGAGCAAGTGATGGTTGAGCTGATCTGAAGAGTTAACACCACAAGGAAGGGCCTGGAGAGCATTCCTCACAGAGGGAAATACATGCAAAACTCTGTGGTCGAAGAGAATGAAGAGAACCCATGACATAGGACCCCCATGGCTGACATCCAGGCATTTTGGTATCCATTCTAAGAGCAATGGAGGTATGGGGGGGGTGGGCAGTTGACAACCAATCTTGCAATTTGAAGACACTACTTCGGCTGCAGAGGGGAGGACAGTTTGGATGTGGGCAAGCGTGTGTAGTATATCCCACAGGAGAGCGTGGCACCATCTGGGGATGTTGGCTCGGACGGAAGCAGGGCTTCTACGTGCGAGCTCCGCAGACATCTGTGGACTTGGGTGGGAAAACAAGCAACTTCGGAGTGGAATGTAGCACTTCCTTCCACCATGAACGTAGATGCCAAACCACAGCGGTGTCAGCAGCACCTGTGACCCCAGCCAAGAGGAACCTCGGGCACTTTCAGATCACATCACAGTTGCTGCAGTCGAGCTATCCCTTACCCTCAACATGGCTGGAAAATTACTGTAGTTGTTAGGTCTGCCACGAGATCGTATGACACAAGGCATTCATAAAGAAGCACATATATGATTGTAACTCAACTTTTAAACATATTTGGATAACGGTACTTTTAATATGGCTGGTTTCCTTTGTAATCCTATGTTATTTTATTTAATGAACTTAAGTCTCATTCTGAAAAGGAGCCCAGAGGCTTTACCACACTGCCAAAGGTTTCCAGTGCACAAAGTAAGTGAAGAGCTCCCGAGGGCGAAGGGGGTAGACAGTCTGAGAGCTATTTAGGAGGTCAGCGTGGCATGGCCTGGATGGACAAGCTGGGATGGAGGAAGGCACCTGATCGTTCCTCGCCATCTGGTTCCCGTGATTGGGTGGGCGGGAAAGCTCTAGTGTTTTATCCAAGACAGAAAATACCAGAAGATCGCAGGAACATCTGTGGATAAAACAAGGGATTTTATTAATGGGCTTGAGGGACATCTACTTCGGCCCTTTTTCTCACTTTGTAGGCCTCAGCAGACTTAGAGCTAACTGAGAAATATTGGTAACTTAGGTGTCACCACACAGATATACATAAAAATATAAATAGGAATCGTTATCAAGAAAATTACAAGTTTTCACAAACCACAAGAGACTCTTAGATACAGAGAACAAACTGAGGGTTGTTGGCGGAGTATTGGGTGGGGATGGGCTAAATGAGTGAGGGGCATTTAAGGAGGGCGCTGCTTGGGATGAGCACTGGGTGCTATAGGTAAGTGATGAATCACTAAAATCTATGCCTGAAATCATTATTACGCTATATGTTAACTAACTTGGATTTAAATTTAAAAAGCAGAAGAAAATAAGTTTCTATTCAAGCAACGCAATTTCCAGTCGCAAAGTATTTCTAATATTCACAAATGAAACAGTTACCAAAAAATCTGCCAATTCCTCTAAAGACTGACTCTCTTTTTCCCGGAAGACAGTTTTCATTAAAACCTGTAGTTAAGCGATGGCTATGGTCTCCCAACATCTTCAGTCCCGGGGTCCCAATATCCAGTCCGTCTGCTTAAGACCAAAACTTCTATTGCAGCTCCTTCAAAACAATCAGAAACAGCATCAGCCCAAATATCCTCATTACTTCTATTTCTACACATGAGCAACATATTGGCTTTGCCAAAACAATTAAACAAACTTAAATCATGACTCACTTGTGGGACAGTTCGCTGATGACTTCATCCAAGCCTCCTGCCAGCTACCACATCAGGCATCTGTTGAATTCTGGACAAGGGGAGGGTTGCAAACAGAGGAGATTAAACCCTGTGTAGGTCTCCCTTCCTGTCTACCTCCAAAACTGCAAAAACCTTCGAAACGCGAGTGCATGCAGATAAAGCTTTAAATACAAAAGTCAGACTATCCAAGTCTGATGTGCCCTTGGCTCTGCAGAAGTTGATAGACGTGAAGAAGTTCTCATTTTCTACCCTCTTGCCTCTCACCAGCGGAAAGAACACGTCAGGCAAGAGTCCATTCAAAAGCCAGGAGACGGTATTTGAGAAAAGGTGGTTTTGCCCGCCCCTGCCGTTCTGAGCTGTGCATGCCCACTGTGCCAGCGTTATGGCGCTTGCGGTGATGGGTTTTTTTTTTCATTTTCTTTTACCCGTGTACCAGGCCGCAACTCTTTCCTGCAGAAACGTCTCAAAGAAATCAAAACCCTGGGGATTTTACATCCCTTTTCCCATCAAGCGCACCGTGATTATGATTAACACTCTGCTGAATGAAATCCATTTCAGCTGTCCTGCTCTCAAATCTCCAGAACTTAATACAAAATGTAAATATTTGATTTGATTTGATTTGATTCGTGCACGTATTTAGCGTTCTATCATTACCTTTGATCATGGACTCAAGACAAAAAAAAATATTTTCAAAGGCATTAACTGCTATTCTAGGCTGCTTCTTGAAAGAGCCAGTCCTCTGTACTATAAAACATTTCCACAAAAAACTTTTGCATCAAACTGGTGAGTTTGTAAAGAAAATTCCCGATTAAAGTCAGCGTGGCCGACCAGACTTCCTGGCAGTTGGACAAGCTTACGCAGGTGGCAAGCCACAGTTCTCAAACTTTATTTTTCTAATTTCCTATTACATACATGATATAGAGTAAATGCTGAAGTAAAAGAGAAGTTAGAAAAAAGTAACGTAGCATGCGTGTAAGTATCTGCCACGGACGGAGAATGTGCTCTACGTTGCAGGGTAGAGAAGGCATATTTGCTTAGCTTGTTTATCTAAGATAGCAAAACGAAATCTGCATGTGTTAGAACGTTTTTTTAAATATTTTTTTGGTATTTATTTTATATTTGAGAGAGAGAGAGACAGAGCGTGAGTGGGGGAGGGGCAAAGAGAGAGGGAGACACAGAATCTGAAGCAGGTCCAGGCTCTGAGCTGTCAGCACAGAGCCCGATGCGGGGCTTGAACTCCCGGACCTTGAGATCATGACCTGAGCTGAAGTCAGATCCTTAACTGACTGAGCCACCCAGGTGCCCCGTGTTAGAACTTTTTGAATGCTTCACTGCAAAGCTTCAAAACACAAACCAGCAAAAAAGAAAAAGTATCTCTCATCGTCTGATACCAGACCCCAAGAAGAGGGCCTCACAAACAACTGAACCAGGACCCCCAAAGAGGTCTGTCAAAGGTCTTTCTCCTCCCTCTCTCTCTTCCTTTCCGTCTCCTTCTCTCTTCTGGCTGACTTCATTCTCGCAAATCGCCTTGACCTTCCAGGCTTGAGCCAGAGCAACCTACAGTTCATATACATATATGCAAATTCCCAGCATCAAGGCAAGGGAGTGAAGATGTTCTTCTTCCCCCTGACCGGCTTCTGTTTCCATAAACGCTGCCGCAAGACACCGGTCAGTCCAGTTCAGGACACATGCCCCTTTCCAGACCCATCAAGTTGCCAGGGAATATGGTCCTGTGATTGGCCCAGCTCCTGCCAGCTTCCTGTCTGGGGACAAGCACAATGCCAGGGAGGTGAGGTCAAATTTAAAAAGCGCAGCTCCCTTTCAAATCATGTATTAGGCTGGGAACTTCCCGAAATACAGTCTCAGAAGGAAAGGAAAATGCTAAGTAAACAAAATAATGGCGTTTATGTGGCAATCATACGACAATCATGGCTCTCCAGTTTTTACCAGGCAGGTTTTCCCCCGAAGTGACACTTACGGTGCCAGAGATCAATGTAAGTTATTTTATACCAAAGGCCTTATTTCCCCCGAAATAAAATTATAAGTGTGTGAATCATTAATAATGATGCAACGCGGAAAGAATAATTCTAGGGTATAAGAGATGCTGGTCAGAGGGGGAAGAATTTCAGTTATGCAGTTTCTATTACGAGTAAGTTCCGGAGAGCTAATGTACAGCCTTGTGACTAGTTAACAATACTGCATTGTGTGCCTGAAATTCACTAAGAGAGTAGATCCTAAATGTTCTCACCACGCGCACACACAAAGGTAACCATGTGAGGGGCACCTGGGTGGCTCAGTCGGTTAAACGTCTAACTTCGGCTTAGATCATGATCTCACGGTTCGTGGGTTCCAGCCCGGCGTCGGGCTCTGTGCTGACGGCCACCTCAGAGCCTGGAGCCTGTTTCAGATTCTGTATCTCCCTCTCTCTCTGACCCTCCCCTGCTTATGCTGTCTCTCTCTCTTGATTATGGTGATCATTTTATAATATATGCATGTATCAAAACATCATGGTGTACACCTTAACTGTATTCAGTTTTATTTATCAATGATACCTCAAGAAATCTAGAAAAAATTAATTTAGTTCCTTTTTAGGTTTTTACACACATACACACACACACACACACACACACACACAGAGGAATAAATTCTATAGTAACATTAGGTGAAGATTGCTTTTTTAATTTCTAGCGTTCTCTGATATTCAAGCAGGGCTTTAGAAAGGTAAAACAAAACATTGAAGGGTTCTTTTTCTCATCATTTGTAATAGGCTACAGTAATAATTTTAGAGTGCCGTTAATAATCATTCCACATAAAAATAAATGTTCTAAAATTGTCCTAATTCAGCAATGTCAGCAGTGCCCAGGACACGGAAGGTAAGTACCATGAACAAGTGTTATTAGTGGAAATGGCTATTTCCTTCAGCGCACAGACATAACAGGGCAAAAGTAGGAGCCAGTGGGAAGGTGATTTTTCCACTCAGTGTCCGACACCACAACCAAATGACGCACAGGACTCCGAACCAGAGGAACAGGAGGCTCGTAGCCATTAGCACCGGCCAGTGACCTCACCCTGCTGCGCCTTCCTCTCTCTGGCAACACATGGGATCAGATTGGGCCAGATAGACTTTAAGATGCTTTCCGGTTCCGAAGTATTATAATTCCAACAGAACCAGTTAGCATAAATGGGATGTAAAGGAGTCATTTGTTTAATGGCTTGGAGGAAAGCCAGTGGTCAGCCTCTCCTTTGTGAAACGTTTATGCCCTTTGCAACGGTCTGGGCTGGGGGTCAGGGGCACAAGACGGGTACACTGCAGTCCTCGTCCTCAGGGAGCACACAGCCTTGGGGTGCAAGGGGAACCCGCAGTGTAGCAGATCACTAGAACACAATGTCCCAAGGGCTCTGGGGGAGCAGCAAGCAAGGCGCAAGGGAGGAAGTGACTAACCCACTCAGGGAGACGCCTAACAGAGGAGGTGCTGTTCAACATGAGCCTGGAAAGGTGAGTTCAATAGATCATCTGTGCAGATGGCCATGTTTGAGGGAAGAAAATCTGGGCAGGGGAGAAAGCAAGTGCCAAAGGAGCCCAGAATGTTCTGAGAAAGGAAGTCTGGAGAGTAGACAGGTAGGGGAACTTCCCTTGTTGGTGGGAAGAGCAGCTGAATGGCTTCCCACAGGAGCTAGGCACACTCAGATCTGCCTCCCAGAAAGTTCCCTGGTAGCAATGTGGAGAGTGAGTTAAGGAAAAAGTGCCAGAGGACAGGGACCCTGGGCCATTGGGCAGCTCCTGCATCAATGGCTGAGCCAGCTGAGAGGATCTGGGTTAAGGCAGCGGTGGGGACGGGGGTTAGGGAGGGGTGGGGTGGGGAGAGACAAGACAGGTGCTGCTGAGGAAGGACAAGGTTTCCCAGGGCCCATGAACTGCCTAAGTGTTACCAGGCTGGAGAAGAAAAACTTTTCTTGGACCCTCTTAATTTGACTACCTAGGGGCCCCTGCACTGAACTAACAAAGGACAGATTAACAGGAGAAAAGTCACAAGACTTTTGTTAAGATTTACGTGCATAAGAGGAAAGAACTGAAACTCAGAAAAGCAGTCTGACCCAGAGGCTTATGTGCCACTTTAACAAAGGCAAGCGGGGCTGTGCTTTTCAGAGGCAGATAAATCATGGGGAAGTAACTAGAAAATATATAGGGAAACTAATGGGAGATAAGTTATTTTCCGAAGTTCTGTTTATGTAAACTTAACTCAGGGGCAGCCCCCCATCTTGCTCTTCCTTTCCTGGTGGGAGGAGAGGGTACCTTCACAAAGGGAAATTTATGTCCTGCTTTTAGGCAGATTTTAAAGGAAGGCAGAGAATTCTTCCTGCATCTGTTGATTCTCAATTGCCTTCAGCTCAACATAATCCTTATGCCAAATCAGCACATTTTGAGGTGGCATTTTCTGCTCCCCTTCCTACTGCACATGTGGCTTAGCATTTAGCCCCACCGAGCCTCACTTTCCTCACCTCCAAAATGAGGATAAAACTTTGTAGATTTGCAGTTAAAGTAAAATGACACAGTCCATCAAACCAACTCAAGATAACGTTAAGTGTTCAACAAACATAAATCATCATCATTTTTGGTATCACACACCACTATCCAGTTCTCCAAGAGGGCACAGGGCCGGGCTGGCCGGTCCACCCAAACTGGCCATGAGATCCGTGCAGGTTGGGCCCCGTGGGCAGGGGAACCCAGGGTCATCAAAAGTAGAAAAAGCAGAAAATGAGGGAGTAAGTATCCTTTGGGTACCAAGGGCCGAAGCTACAAAAGCCAGAATCCGTCATCTAGGTTAAGGTCCTAGCCTGGAGGAAGAATTGAGAATCAAAGGCAGAAGGGCAGGAAGATGTGGGGACTGAGTAGGAAGCCAAAAGCAAGGTTTCGAGAAAGGAAAGAAGGTCCAGAGCAGGGTGGAAGAGCCCAGGGTGTGGGTGGGCCAGATGGATCAGCTCGGTTTAAAAGACAGGCGGGATGGGAGCAGATACCCTTGACCACCACCCACTAGTGACCTTGAGGAT